ATAAAACAACTTGGTAGATTGAATTTTTTAAATCCATCCCTCATTGCACTCTTTCTTTCCAAAAGCTATGCATAATGCAGTTATTTTAGGGTTATTATAGATAACATAGCTTTACCTTTAACATCCTTATTACAGGCTTTTAAAAATAATTGAAAGAATGGATATATATGATTTTGATTGCTAATTCAGTTTCTAAAGTTGATGAGAATTACTATACCTTACAAATTATGGTTGTGTTTCATTAACTAATAAATACGAGCCATCATTATTGTAATTTTGCAATGAGATACCATAAAATAGTGACATACATGTTTTTTAAAAACTGAGATAGTTTTATAATTTTGATGAATCTGTATCATTTATTTTTATTTTTATTCAGGCAGTGTCACACTCTGTCACACAGGCTGGAGTGCAGTGGTGTAATCTTGGCTCACTGCAACCTCCACCTCCCAGGTTCTAGCAATTCTCCCTCCTCAACCTCCTAAGTAACTGAGATTGCAGGTGTGTGCCACCATGCCAGGCTAACTTTTTTTTAGTAGGGATGGTGTTTCACCATATTGGCCAGGCTGGTCTCGAATTCCTGACCTCCTCTGCCCACCTTGGCCTCCCAAAGTGCTGGGATTACAGGCATGAGCAACTGCACCTGGCCTTGGATTATTTAATGTACAGAGACAGGACACCTCTGTGGAAAATATTAATACATTGTTATTTAGCTATATATGTTGGCTCATGTATAACTCAGGGTTTTCCAGAGAAACAGAACCAAGAGAATACGTATAGATATATAAGTGGCGATTTAATATGATAATTGGTTCATGCAACTATGGAGGACAAGAAGTTCCACAATCTGCCATCTGCAATGTGGAGAACCAGGGAAGTTGGTGGTATAATTCAGTCTGAGACCAAAGTGGTGAGAACTTGAGGAGCCCAATAGTGTACCTCCTGGAGTCTGAAGGCTTAAGAATCAGGAGCTCCAATGTCTGAGCACAAGAGAAAATGGGTGTCAGATTCCCAGATCAAGGAAAGGCAGGGAGAGGTAGAGAGTAACAGAGCGATGGAGAGAGAAAGAGAGAAATAGATAGAGTGAGATAGAGAGAGAGAGCAAGAGAGAGAATTCACCTTTCTTCTGCCCTTTTGTTCTATTCTGGTCCCCACTGGATTAGATGATGCCTGTCCACACTGGTGAGTATGATTTTCTTAACTCAGTCTGCTGATTCAAATACTACTCTCTTCCAAAAACACCTTTGCAGACTTACCCAGAAATAACGCTTCACTATTTATCTGGGCATCTCTTAGTCCACTGAAGTTGACACATGAATTTTACCATCAGAGCTCTACCATCAAACATTTTCTAGTGTTATGTTACAGCTATTTTCATTTTGAGTAATAATAATGTTTTGGCACTTCCCTACACATTAGACATAGGTTTTGTTAAACCTAGGACAATTGAATAAAAATTATATCTTTGAATACCTTGAATTTAAAAAACAGAAATGGATGATTCAGAGTATCAGGAGGAAATGGAAGCCACAATCAGGAATCAGTTTAGAGAATTTCGATAAGGGATACTTTCTGGAAGGGTAGCTGGGTTATGGGATCCCATGAGGGATACTGAGTATTTTAATTGCTAGCCATAGTGGAAAGCTGAAGGAGCAAGAGATACAATGGGGATATTTGGGGAATATATGAGGTAGAGCTATGGAAAGGTGGTGACAAGAAAAGACTGTGTAGCCACCACCAGAAAGAACCACAGTGCCAACTTATACTGCAAATTGGGGAAACATGACCCTGCTTTTTCTCTCCTCCTGCCCCTTTCTGGTGCATCTCATTGACAAAATCCAAACAGAAACCAAGGGACAAGGGAAGCCAGGTTGATACAATACCTAAAGATTAACCCATAGAGCACAGAAAAGAGCACATGAGGGGTCTGAGGTTGTGATTAAATAGTGGGGTGGGAAGGGATAGAAAACAACCAGCACAATAAGTGAAAAAATAAATGAATACATTATGTCAAAACCTGAAGCATTTAGATTTTGTGCAATTTAGCTACATCATGATTTCAATGGAATAACATCTATACCTTGTACCTACAATCATCACAAATATGACTTCATTAAGACTCCTTAATTGATAATTATATAGACAGCTAATTGAATAATTATATAGTCAAGTCATTTTTCCATTGTGTTGTAAGGTTTCCTGAGCAGCTTTCTTGGTAGCCAACCATCTATAAGGAATTGGGTAAATTATACCCATTTAGTCAATTAGAATTGTACTTCCACCGACCAAATAAAAGCCAAAGAGTAGGAGATTATCTTTTCCCACATGAAATAAGTATGAGCAGTTTGATTCATTAAGTACATGGTTTTCTGCATAATTTTATGTTATCAATATCAAATTGTTTTTACTTGTAGTTTCTGCCAAGTGGCATAACTTTAGATGGAGAAGTGGAGAAAAGGGAGAATAAATCAAGTGTACACCATTACTGCAGACTGAGGTCAAGCAAACAAACAAACAAACAATAGGCAAAGTGTGAGAGTCTACTACTGACAAATCCAACCTACCTACAGTGTGGGCTTGGAACACCTCCTAGATCCTTGTCTCCTTTCCAATAGGTTACCTGCTCTTCCTGGCTTCCTTATTACCCTGTTATCTCTTTATTTCATTCGACAATATGGAATTATCTCTTTCTTCAATTCCACAATATGGAGTGCTGTATAATTAGGAAATTTCCTCATGATGATCTCAAAATATTTAAATAACATACTAGAACAGGAAATTGTTGCTGTGTAGTTGCTATTTATGTATTGTTAATTCTAATTTAAAAACTGAGTCAAGAAGGAAATTACTTATTTCCCTCAAAAATCCAAAATACCAATGTAAATTTTAGAGATTTTTTCTACTCACAGCAGGCTGTTAAAATTAATTATAAGCCTAAATATAACAAAGCTATATGTAGATTTGGTAAATAAAGAAACGTGTTAAGATAAAGGGAACCTCAAAAACAACTGATACTCAGGACCATGCTTTATTGGCCCAATTTCACTGTCCCTTTTTGCTTATTTTTATCTTACATTTGTTATGGTTGTTTTAAACACGTGGTCCACTGACAACAACGAATTCCAATAGGTTACTGATTTTTAAGAGTAAATATATGGCATTAACTGAAAGCGGACATTTGAGTTTGCCTTTTTATTGAAGAAGGAGAAATAAATTATAATGTTATAGGAAGTGTAGATAGGTAGTTAGATAATAAACTTTTCTTAACTCCTTAAGCTTGGTGCAATCACCTTCAAGTAAGGTATCTCAATCCAGTTCTCAGATGGTAATTAATAATAAAATCTCTACAATAAGCTAATCCATTGAACATATGTGATATTATTATGTGGGGAGGGGGTAGGAGGAAGGGGATTGAGTATAACCCTGATTCTTCCATTGTTTAAAATACCCTGTGTTCTTCCAGAGGGCACCAAAGTTGTACAGAGCAACACTAAATCAGCCCCAGGGAGCACTGTCTCTGTGAGATGCCAGCCTTGAGCTGAAGGAGAGGATGAGTTTCAAGTTGCTGAACACCCCCATGCAGCAGTAAAAAGATATACGATATCGACACGCTCAGCTGCATCTTGTTAAAAGCTTCCTGCGGGTTGGCAGAATGAAATCTTTATTTAAAACACACAAACTATTGTCAAGGGAAAGATGGAAAAGAGAATACAGTAAAAGGGCCAAATGCTTTGCTTAACCCACCAGAAGCAGTAGAAAGGGAGAGGTGGTCACGTTGTCTTTGCGACAACAACAACAGAAAAGGTGACTAACACCACCACATCAGCCTCCATCTGCTCTTCCCATGGTTTCAAGATGCATTATTTCTTTTATTATTAATTACATGTGTTTCCGAGGGAGGACAAATATATTATTACGACTAGCAAGAGAGGAAATCATTTCTGCTGCCACTTGGCATTAAGTACAGTAGTGTATGTAATGACTGAGGGATGGCAGGAAACAGAGCGGCATCATTGAGACCAGCCTCCCTCCTACCAATCCGCTCCAACTCGCCCTTGGTAGTCAGAGGCTGCCTAACAGAAAGTTCATGTAAAACCATTATTGAACACTGACAGGAAGGAACTGAGACAGGAGTGAGTGGTGTGTATTTGCGCAGAAAGGGAGAAGGAGGGAGGGAGAGAGAGAGAATATGAGTCAGTCATCATCACCTTGGGGCAGACAGCACCATAAGAGGGGCAAGTGCTTTGTATAATTACAAAAAGACGTACACATGCATACACACTTGCACATACGGTGTAATTTTTTTCGTTCATATCATTTCCAAGAACCGTTTTAAGTGATGATGACTGTTGGTGCATGGGAACCTTCTTGGATGGGTAAGCTCCTTGACTTTAGGGAGGCTGAGCAGGGAACCTGGCAGGGCATGGGTTCAGGAGAAGGGTCCCTTTTGAAGAGCAAAGGGACATAGCAAGCAATGGAGAAGGCACGAAAAGAAAAAGGTGAAAGGACCCTGGGGAAAATGTCACCTATATTGACTAAGCTTTATTCCTCTTCGGGAGAAAGTGACATTTCGGCGATTAGATCATTGACATATAAGGAAAGTAGATGGATAACTGTTTTTTGTTGTTGTTGTTCTCTTTTTGTTTGTTTTTTTCTACAGTGCTTACAGCACCTTTGACCAGATGGTACCTGGAATGCTCTGTGTTGCATAATTACAAACAGGATAATTATTTTGGCTTTTTAAAAAACGCACAGACATGGTGACATTGCTCTCTGTTTAGCAAGAGACAGCATTTGTTGCCTATAGCTGTGTGCTCTGATGAGACATGAAAGATGGTAAAGTGACAAAAAGCTTCCTGCTGTTTTTCTCCCGTCCTGCCCACCTTCTCCCCCCAGCTCCAAACCCTATTTCTAGTTTCTATGGGGGTCTAAGTTCCTCTTCCCTTGTCTCCCGAGTCTGTGGTACACCACCTCTGATGCACTCTGATATCCCACTCTACCTTGGGGTTGCGAGGAGGTAGCGAAGAATCCGCTTTCTGCATCCATGTCCACGTCCTCTCCTCTGCAGCGAGGCGGATTATCAGCAACTCTTGTACAGGTTTTCCCTTCTCAGCTACCACCTTGGCAGAGCTCTATCACTCCCTCAAGCCCAGTCAGACTGCCAAGCGCCCCGACTGAAAACTCCATCCAGCTCAGCTGAAGTACACCCCCTCTGCCAAGCAACCCCTGTGCCCCTGCCCTTCACCTCGCTGGAGTCTGCTCTTCATAAGCATCGATTCCATTGCAAATCAAATCTACGTCCCCCACCTATTAACACCCACCACCCCTTAGGTGTTTCCGACAGACTCCCTCGGAAAATAACAATAATAATAACAACAACAACAACAACAACAATAACCGAAAGCACGCGAACACCTGAAGAAGCACAGATCGGGATCCGCATCTGGACCAGTCCTCTGTGGCTTTAGTGATGGGGAATAACCTGTGCCTGACATGTCCTCCTGTCCCCGCGCGAACTGCTTTACCCCGGAGCCATGGAATGGTGCCAAGGCACCCGGCCGGCAGGGTCCGCCCAAGCCGCGTCGGGCAGCTCCGGGCCGGTGGGTGCCGGGTCTCCCCTCCTCCCGCCCCAGCTGGCGCGCCCGCAGCGTTGCCGCCGCCGCCGCTTCTCTCCCCGGCGGGCGCTCGGAGCATCCCGCGCCGCGTCCTCCCCGCCCCGGCTCCCGCCCGCCAGAGCGAGGCCCACGCCGCTGGCAGCCATCAAGTGGCTCGTTAAGGAAATGCAGGTGAGTGCGTGCGGCCCAGCGGCAGCTGCTGGAGACGTGGGGTGTGTGCCTGTGTGTGCTAGCGAGACAAGGAGGGCGCGCCAGCGAGCGAGCTAGCGAGTGCGGGAGCGGCCGCCTCGGCACCCCGCCCAGTCGCGCCCGCACCCGGCGGCCGAAGCGCGTGGGGCAGCGCCTCGCCCTGACAGAGCCTCGCCGCCTCCTCGCCGTCTCGGCTGCTTCTCCCGGGAGCCGGGAACCGCTCACCGGCCTCCCCCACCGTGCGCTCCCCTCCCAGCCGGAGCCCTCCCGCTCCTCTTTCTCCTCCTCCTCCTCTCGAGCCTCCTCCCCTCGCGCGCGGCGCTGACAGCCAGCCTCGGCGGGGAGAGTGCAGGTACTTTGCCTTCAGAATAATTTGCAGGACCCAAGCCGGCTTTCGAAGCGCCCTTTCTTCTTCTTCCTTTGCCCCTCCCTACGGAAAAGAAGATCCCACTTTTGAAACAATCAGAACCGAAGCACCCCACCAAAGCCTAACCCTGACGGGCTGCTGTGCATGTGCCGTCCCTTTTTGCAGTTTATTCTGGGCCTGTGTGGAATAGAAAGACAATTCTTTATTTGACTGGTAGGAAAGAAAAGAGAAGACTCCTCAGGGTTTCCAAGGAGGACTGGAGCGGCTGCTTTAGTAAGTAAACTGTGCTTCTGTCTTTCTTGCCTCTAAAGTGAGACATATGCTGAATGCTTTTCAATGTCCAATGTCCAATGCTGTGGACAGTTTATTTATTTTACCTGGGGAAAACTTGACTTATATAACTTCAGTAGCTCCTATTTGAGAAGTGGTTCGCTAAGTATTTTTTTTTTTTCTTTCTTTTTTTTGGAAGAGCCCCTAGAAGACTTCGGTATGGGTTCAGTATGGACAGCCTCACTGGAAATCTGATTTTTAAACATTTATTGTTCAAGAGCTATTGGAAGCCTGCTTTGTGAAACCTTGGTTGGTTCTAAGATTTAAGGATGGTTATCTAGAAAAAGCTTGAGAAATCTAACCCTACTGGCTCACTTCTCCTGCCACCTTCAACCTCAACCCTAATCCATGCTAACTCCCACCCTACCCTGACTTCAGTTGGTTGGTTGTTTTATCTTTAGTTCTTAAAAGCACTAGGAAAGAAAAAAAAAGGGGCGGGGGGCGGTAAAGGGAAAGTTAATAAGGATGGTTTGAAAGACCAGATGAAAATTCTGTTGAGATTTCTTCATGCCTATAAGGAGATAATACGTGGAAGAAAATCCTGGAACTAGAATAGTTGGAGAATTTGAATGAACTTAATTTGGAGAGAGAATGTGAAAAATGCTTTGGAGAGGGCAGGGCTGAGACTGTGACTTTGACACAGCAGGTTATAAACTCTGACAGGACTCAGCAGCCAGTGACAGGTTTAAGGTGTCTCCTAAGGCTGAATATTTCTGCCTCAAAAACTTTTGCAGGCAGTATTCCTCTTGGGGCTAACACCACCATGTCAGTAGCTGCAGCATTTCTGTAAAAGCAAGTAGGACACTCTTCTTTCTACAAAAGGGTTAATAAGTTCATTATACATATATAAAGATATATAGTCTAACATTTGCCAATATTTTGTAATATCTAAATAAAACCTTTGTGTTATGTCAGGAAAAATATAGTTGACTCAGTTTGTTTTGCACAAGAGGTAGAGAATCAATAACATTTCAGCATTTTTTTCTTTATCACTGCCAAATGGATTCTGAATCTAATTCTTCTTGCATTGTTACATATACAGTAGATACAGTAGGAGTTGCAACTTAGACAAAACAGACCTGATTTTTAACAAATCCTAAGATTTTTTGACATGGTAGCACTTATATTGACTAGAATCTAGTAGTGATTAGAAAAAGTTTATCCCTTTTATCTTTAACTGTCAATTTCTGTCTCAGTATAAGATGTACTTTTCTAATAAAAACCTCTTATAAGTTAAAAACCAGGTTGAAAAGTAAAAGTACTTATCTCAGAGAATTTCTTTCAATAAAACAGCTTATTATTGATACCTAAGGGCTTTCTTGTGTTTAATTGCTGATAATGGTAGAGTGAATATAGTTTTACCTCCTTATGTACTTAAGTATATAAAAGCATCTGTATTCATGGGAGATTGGTTTTAAAAATTATAAGAGTAAACAATTATTACAAAAAGAGATCTTTTAGAGTTGTTATGATTACTCAATGTTGAAAGCTCTAAATATCTTGGGCCATAAGTTTTCAGGGTAATGAGACAGGACAATAGGACAGTTAATGAATTGGTTGACATGAAGTTATATATGGAATCATTTGAGAAAGATGTGTCATTGTTTCTTGATTATTATTTAATTTCTCGTCCAAATGAGTTTTCTTAGAGATATTACTGCTCTTAGCTGCCACTTCTATTATTGGTTTAAAAATGAATTTAAATGATTTAAAATGAAGCCCTTGGCTGATCAGATTTGGATTATAGCACATGACCTCTACTCATTTCTGACCTCGTGTGACTGAGAGGGCATCTGATATTTGAAAAAGAAAAATTAATTATTAAAAAATGAAGGGGAAGATTGTACCTAAGTAGGGCAAATTTAACAGTTGTTTAAACATGTTATTACATATATTAGTATAGGGCATATTTTACACAGTAGAGAAGACATGACAAATTTGTTCATTCTTTTTGAATTTCTGAAAGCAAATATTTGTAAGTAACATTAAAACTAACATGACATACATTCTGCCTCTGTTGTAATTATGTCACAGTGCTAAGGAAAATAGCCTGGATGAAAGCTGTTTCTAGTAAAGCTTGCACATGCATTTGATCCCTGTCTCTATATAATAATAGATAAAAATGTCAAAGCAGGATGAGTGATTAAATTTTCACCTTTTTGGCCACCAGCTTTCTGTCCTGTACAGAGGTAGTTGCAACTTTAAAGTTGAGAAGAAAGTTGCTAGTGTCAGCAGTAAAGTGTTTTATTATGCAATTGTTCTTGTTATTCAGATCAGATAATGGCCCGATGAAATACATAAGCAGTCTGCAGGGAATGAATGATTAATTCCTTTAACATGTGCTTACTAAAGGAATTCTTTCTAATAAAGTGCTGTATACCTGCATTTGCTTACAGTTGCAGTTGGTGAAGGCAAATATATTTTTCTTTTCTTTTAATATTAACATAAAATTTACAAGTCTATTCTTGTAACTATAACAACATAAAGATGATTTTTTTGACCACATGGTCTTATGTTTTATGGAACTCAATGCATGATTACTATTTACTAAATACACTTAATTTAGAAAGAAAACAATGCTAATTAGATGTGATATTGGAAGGTTGAGCTATTCATAACTTTTTTGTTGTATTCTTTATGGAATGCCATTATATCTTTCCTGTGTATTACTAGTAGGATGCAGGAATCCAAATGTATGCAGATGCAGAGTTCTGCAAATGCACATTTTTCTTTAAAAATGCTGAGAGTAAATGAAAAGCTAAAATATTGCTAGTTATATCCAAGAATTAGCAGAATACTATGTTAAAATTTTAGGAATGACTAATAGTGCACATGGCAATTATTGTGGTTATCACTGGTGTGAACTGTTCTGCAGTTAGAGAAGTATCACTAAGGTAACTTTACATTTCTAAAACTGGATTATGGTAGAGGGTGGCGAATGAACAGGTTTTATATGATAATTTGAGAATAGGTGACCTGAAATGCATGTTACATGTTTGAAACTTACCTACTTAATGTCTTTTTAGAAATTTCTGAAAAAAATTTGATTTTAAAAATTACATAGTTAAATATATTTATCAATATTTCTGTATTGATCTAGCTACTATCTATTTATGTCTCACATTTAACACAGCAAATAACATTATTTCAAGACTTCTCTGTTGTTTGGAGGAAATACTTTGATTTCAGTAATATATTTTTGGGCTTACACCTATCCTGAATTTAATAAACTTTAGCAATGTAAACGATAGGATAAATATTCAAGAATGCTAATTTAAAAGTTATAATGAAAATTAAATGAGTAGAATTTTGTACCCAGTTCAATGCCACTTGACCTTATCTTCTTATGTATTAAAGAGCAGTTTCTTTACCACTACTGTTGGTTCACTGTTTTATTTTTTTAGGATTTTCAAAAGCATTTGGCATCAGTAAAGAGTAAATAAATCTCCCCTGATACAATCAAACAATGTAGACCTTAACTGTACTTTTAACAAGCTTTTCAAAACTCTTATAATGCACTGAATGTAGAAGAATTAATGAAGAATCAAAAAAATGAACATTACCCATTAGAAGAACACTTATGTGATTGTGGTAACAAAGGTTTTGAGTTTTTCTTTCATCACTAGAATTGGAAGTGTGATCCTAAGGAGGTAATCTGGACTCTCTGTACCTGTGTCAGGTAAAGGAATTGACTTAGCAATTTGAAAGTCTTTCAAGCTATGTGTCTAATATACTGAATATAACTGAAGTTGCATTTTGCAAATCCTCAGATTATACTGTGGCAGTTTAAGAATCCTGTAGGAGTTAGGGGCAGCCATCTTGTTTGAAAGGGGGCTAAGGAAATTGTCCTGAAGTCAGGTCAGCAGTGCCTGGACACTTGTTAGGTAGATTGAGACTGAATGTTTATTTGGAATGTTTTTGAAGGAGCAGGATAGAGATTATGGAAGGAAGGAGGTGGACTCAAGTTTCTCTATATGATCCTATACTGCTGCCACTGACAAGATATTACATGGATAATTATTTTTGCATTTTATTACTTACTGTACCCAATATCAGAAGGATATGAGAAGAAAATAAGTAAAAGAGGATGCTTAATGTCTTTAGTCTTCCTTTTTCCCACTCTGAAATCTCTATATGTGCTATTTTGCAAGATCACATTTGGATAAATATGCACAATTTAAATAAGCGTATGTTATTCCTTACATACATGTAGACTGTAAGAGCTAGAAAGAACCATAGAAAAAATGATTTGAACCCTTGCATTTTAAAGAGGAAATTGAGAACTTCAAAGATAAAAAGATATCAAAGTGGGTTGGATATCCCATTTTCACAGAGAGGTTTTCCATCCTTGTTCAGTACCACCTAACATGCTATATTGCCAAGTAAATACATAGACAATAATTTATACACCTCTAACTACATTATCAATGAAATAGTTTCATTGATCTATTAATTGTATTATTAAATCTATTAAATGTATTGTAGGATACAATACATTAACTTTAAAAAATGTGATAACAAATCTTCTAATCATGGAAAATGAATACAGAGAAGGAATACATACAATGTTAATTTTAAATGCTTGCTTTTCTTAGAGAAAACCAAGAATTTATTTCTCAGTATAATTTGTGTGATATAATTGATGAAATTGAGAACTTTTTTTTTCTTCTACAAAAATCAATATGGCCAATTGTTTTCTATATGTGATATGAATAAGTTGCAGCAAGTAGATATATGTCTCTATGAAATGTACACTTTAAATAACTGAAGTCTGGGAGATCATGTTATACTTATTTTTTTAAATTGTAAAATATAGCCAATATAGCTGATTAATTGTAGAGACTTTATTTGCATTTTATTTTGTGTTTGCATGTGAGCATTTATGTATGCATGTGTGTTTAAATACATCTGCTCTCTTCAAAATAGGAAATTGAAAATGGTGT